TAACATATTCCCTCTTTTTCTCTCGATTACGTAATTCGTAAGGAATCCATATAGTGTGTGGGTGAAAAAGGTGCGTGCAAATCATGCAAGAATCGTCTTGTATAATATAATGTGATCTCCCTGCCGGCAGTGCATTAGCTTTTCTCTCTTTTTCACTCTTGGAATCAAGAAAGACCCAAAAGGGTTTTTATGTGAAATTGTATATGCGCATGTGTGACAGACGAATACAAGTAGATGCAAAACAACACGGAAGACTTGGCAGGAACTACCTGACTGCACTCAACCTACGCAATAATCCAAGACTTCAAAATAAATAAAAACCTAAAGAAAAAAACTATATATACGAATCTAAAAAGGGATTACACACACTGAAAAAAAAAATTTATTCGATTCAAATAATTGGTTACTATTATAAAATAAATATTTATTTCTATTAAATGTTAATTAGAAAATTGTCTAAAAAATAATTATAATAAAATTGTTGAAAATGAAAACTGTAATAATTTTTATGGGATAATTTCATTAGACTTTTTTTTTGGTGCCAAGTTTTTTTTTTTTCACATATAGGCCTGACATAAAATAAACTCTTAACCGCAATGTCAATATTCTATCAGAAAGAGTAAAAAAAAAACATCAACACGAAGCTTTTATGTCCGAAATGCGTTTACGATCAACGTCAAGAGATTTGAGATTTTGCAGTAGAGAGTCCTGTCTTAAAAGTTGAGATAAAACGATTTTGGCTTAGAATTCACGCCACGTATTTCGGGATATAAAAAGGTGCCTCTACTTTTTTAAGCTTTAAACGACTTTCTTATATATATATACTTTTTCAAATCATTCCCTTCTATCTTTTTTTCACACTCGAAATCGTGAATACCTATTTCACCTTCATTTCCTTATAACGCGCGCGTTGATTTCCACACTCACACACACACTTTGGCTTCTGACATTTGAACGTTTTCAACATATTCACATAGAAAATACGTTTCTAATATCAATATAACATTTCCAACTTCGATTTCCCATGATTCTATATGACTCATTTATCATTTTGTATAAAAAATATTTTATATTGAAATTAAAATCTTTTTCAAATAAAGGGGGAAAAAAAAATTTTTATTTCTATATTTTTCTGTAAATAATTTTTTTTTCTACTTTGTCATTACATTCGAATCATAAACACTCTTTTTATAAATAGCAACAATTTTCCATTGTTTGAAAATTTTTCCTTACTCTATTTTTTTCCATCATTCGTTGGTGCTTCCATTTTTTTTTGTGTTCAGAAGATAAAACTTTTGCATAAACTACTCAAGTTAACAGTGAGAGAGGGGAAGAGGGATTCTTTTGTTGAAAGGAAAATTTTAATAACTTTAAAGGTTGATTCTTTGAAAGTATTCTTGGAAAATGAAATATTGTGAACTTCTTTCAAAAGTCGTATAATATCATGGGCTAAGAACTAATACCATTGAGGCGAAGACGTGCTATCTGTTTCTCTCTCTATATATATATAATCGCTCTTGGAACTCGTTGAAAGTCGTTGTAACTCAGTATTGTGTATAGTTGAGAGAGCGCGCGCAAAAGTGCTCTAGGCACTGGGAGAAAGGCATGTAATTGCAACCTTATCGTGTTTAAATACAACGTTTTAAATAGTTGGAGGAACGATTTTTCTAATTGAATGTCTTACGCGTTTTCGCGGAACACAATCGTTCAAAGAAACCTTAGGCAATGAGACGATTATAATCAACATTGTGTAATGAATATACATATATATATATATACGTATACACATTTCTCCGCATGTAATTTTATCGTTTGCATGTTAAACTTTTCATAATTCACAATTTTTTTTTTCTTTTTCCCTCATGAATAAAGGATTGTTTTACAAACTTTTCTATATAAAGTAAAGAATTTAATAAAGCTGATGAATCAGTAAAAAATTTTCTATTTCACATTTTGTGTTAATAAAATTTTTACTTTTGTAATTTTTTTTCCATTTTTTTTTCTTCTTTGAAAATAGAAAATCATTCCAGCGAAAATTTTCAATTTTTAATAATAATAAAATAATTAAATAATTAACAATACTTAATTATAATAGTAATTATAAATAAATATTTTAAACAATAGTTTAGAGAATATATTGATTACAGATTTTTTTTAAAATAATAAAAATAATTTTTATTGGAGTTTGCATTTTAATTTAGAAAACAAATGAATTTTTATATATTTAGTAATATGTAATAATGTATATCGGAACATTTATAAATTTTCTCTCAAAGAAAATATAATCAGCTTTTATTTTGTGAAAAATTATTCTATATATAAAAAATATAAATATTTGAATGGGAAATATTTCGATAGTCAAATTAAGTTGAAATCGTCAATATATATATATATATATATATATATATATATATATTCATAGATACAGTTATAATTCGATGCATCAACGAACGTGCGCACTGCTTGATGGTGGGTTATTTCACGATGATGAAAACAAATTTTATCACTGTGAATTTATATTTGCCGCTGGTTTAATTACTCGACCCGTCCCCCGAGGCATTGCGAGCAGCACATCTGCATTTGAATAGCCGGCGGGAAGGACGGGGGGGGGGCTTTCACATTCTTTTCAACAATTCGGAATAGATACCTTCAACATTCTGTGATGGAGCTTAGCAAAAAAAAGAAAACAAAAAAAAAACTTTCTGACGTTTACCGAATTTTAATTATTAACTCAGTTGATATAAACGGACACATATTGTTCGAATTTTGAATAAGATTAATGAATTTTAGTCCATTGTTATATATATATATATATACATACTGATATAAATTTCACTAAAAATAATTTTTCATTTTATTCTTCTCAATTTTTTAAATGTATAATCTTTTCTTTTTTAATTATTGATATAAAAATTAGAAATTATTATTTAAAAATTATTAAAATAAATAATTTTTTTGTGAATAAATGGCGACATGTAAAATATCAAAATTAGCGATACGGTGCGAAAAAAGTTTTTTCAAAGTATATGCATAAATCGACAGTGTTTCTAGAAATTCGGACTCTTTAAGTTCAAAACGAAGAGAATAACGAAAAGAAAAAGGAAAAATAGGAAAAAAAAAATAGAAGTGTAAGAAAGGTGAAGCGTGTTCGCTAAAGTTTCATCGAAGATTCGCGGCATGGACTTTTGACTATGTATATATATATATATATTGGCCTTTGAAGAATAATGGATGACTTCCTAACGACACTTTAAGACAGTTCTCACTTCAACGTGTATTTTCTTTCTCTCGGATTTGCACGAGAGAAACAACTCTCGTGGAAATTTTTATACAAAATTTTCTTTCTATTTTTCTATCAAATATTCCCATTCTTCAAAATTGTTTCACACAGATCCATAAACATATATAAATAAAATAAATATAAAAATAAGAAATATACATATGAAAAATATAAAAACAAAAATATAAATATTCATAAATTATAAATAAAAGGGAAAAAAAATATGTAAGCAAAAAAAAAGAATATACATTTTCGAGTTTCATCTAATTTTCTTATCTTGGCAATTTCCAAGATCAACAAAATTCGTTTTGCGGATGCCGAAATAAAGCAAGGGGGGTAGGGGAGGGTCCCGATGAAAAGTGGTTAAAGTGGAAAGAAACTTTTGCGTCACTTCCATTAACTCTTGCCTTCAAAGCGTTACCTTGACTCTATAAAAGTTGAAATTGGATACCCCCTCCCTCTCCCATCGTGGAAAATCGATTTTTACCTTAATTTCGACTTTGCAATTTCGTTTTCGCGGCCAAAATGCAGTTCTTTAAAAACATTGATAGAGCGACGAATTTCAAACGTTTGAAAGTTTACAAAAATTTCTGATTCCAATCGTATCTTCGCGGATTTTTCAGTTTCCTTATTTGATCTCAGTAAACTTTCATAAATTTCGAAAGTTCGAAATTCAGTTGTATTTCATTGAAAATTAGTCAAATCTGTTTTACCGATTAATGATAAGGTGGATTTGAGTGTTTTGGTTTACCGATTACGGATAATGCAGATTTGACTGTTCTGTTTTACCGATTAGTAGTAATGCAGATTTGACTGTTCTGTTTTACCGATTACGGATAATGCAGATTTGACTGTTTTGTTTTACCGATTAGTAGTAATGCAGATTTGACTGTTCTGTTTTACCGATTAAAGATAATGCAGATTTGACTATTTAAAACAGTAATAATTCAAATGAATTTTGGTGAAAATGTTGCGAAATTCTAACTATTTTGTAAGTAAAATCTCACTGATTTAAATTTAAAGAGTATTTTGAATATTTTTCGATCTTATAAAAAAAAGAAATTGAAGAGTTTATGAGATAAATTGTTATTGGATATAAAATCGTGTTTGTTATTCGAGAACTTTGTGATATCGAGTTAGTATTCGAAAAAAGGAATTACTGGGGCGGTTTTGTATTTTGTAGCTTTCGTTGCAGCTTCTTTTTTCCTCTCTCTCTCTCTTTCGAGAGCTACATTTCATGCATCATGTGCAGTTTTCTTTTCCTGTCGTGCAAGCAACAGCAAAAGATACTTAGGTACAAGGCGTTGCAGCTGCACAGCGCCGCGCCATGCCAGGTCTTACGATCTCTTTATCTCTTTGTCGCTTAAATCGCTTGTGATTCAGTCCTCTTACCATATAGCAGTAGCAAGACTTCGCGTGTATTTTTTTTTTTTTTTTCCTCTTTTTTCCCCTCAATTGCCTCCTATGGTATATAACTTATAACTGACGTCGTCGAATCCACTCCGGGAATCTATTTTCAATCGTTTAAATTTCATCTTCATTGCTACAAAATAAGAAGAAAGGAATATTTTCCATTTACTGTAATATTTATTCAAAAGATTAACATCAGCACGTTGTTTTATTTTTTTTTTTTCTCCTAAAAATTCGATACTTTTCTCTTTGAATGAATTTTTGAATAGACAGTAATTTTTTTTTTAAATTTCTCTTTTTTCTGTTTCAGGTATGTATCCCTTCAGCAACTCTGAATATTCACGGACGTTACTTTTTCGTCGTGGTAATGTTAATTTTTATTTTACTATTTTTATCACTTTTCTCACAATATATTTTTTTTTTGATTTTTAAGAATGAAAAAAATTGTTTTAAAAAAAAAAAAATCAAGAAAAGGGGAGAAAATTATCTGATAAATGTATCTCTATTCCAAGAATATTATATGGTTTATCTGTTACAAGGAGAATGGAGAAAGATATAAACGGACACATCCTTCGTTTTAATTTAAGCGTTCCGTATTCACTGCACTAGGTGGTGTAAACGGGCTCACAGAAGTTTAATACCCAGTGATTTATCCAAGATATGAGACTCATGTGCGTTGATACTGACCGTGTAAGTACGCAATGTACATTATATTGCATACACACACATATAAACAATATATATAAATGTGAATGCGACGCACTTGTTCATCGAGATATAACTCCATGTTTCCGATTCCTCGTATAACAATGCGAGCATCGCGAATATTTTGAGTCTCGAGACTATATGCGTTTATTCTCTCTCCTGTGACCTCTTTGGGACAGGTCAAATGTAATAAATTTCATTTCGACAAAAAAAAAGAATTTAAAAATCGAAAATAAATTCGATAAAAAAAAAATCTCCGCCAAAAAAGAAAAGATAAATATTACTTTCACTTTGTCGAGTCGAAAAAAATATACAGAAGCAAATGCGATTTCATCTCAATATAGTGTGGTGGTGGTGGTGAGTTGTCTCAATCGTGTTCATTTTGCGTGAGGCAAGTTTCGCAAATCTTTGCAAAGGGTTATATAAGGTAAATAAAATAGGTATTTTTTTTCTCCACTTGGACTTGATCTTTTTTCTCTCACCTTCGAAATTTTTTAATTAAGAGAGACATTTTGTTTTAAAATTTTCTTTTTTTCATTTTCTTAATATCGATTTTCCCTTCTCTATTTTAATAATTCCCTTGTTTATGGGAAACTTAATCTCAACGTTGACAGGAAAATATTTTTAATGGATGAAATATTCCCTCTTTCTCTCTTTACAAGGAAGTCTACAAAGAGAAAAGTCTAGTCGCGTTAATGGAATGTATAGTCACGTTTTCATCAAAAAACCATCCGCCCAGCATCCCTAAACTTTCTGCGCGATCCATTCAAAATGACACCTTTTCCCTCTCTTTAGAAATTTTCTCGAAAATTTATGTAAGCCAAGCATTTAATGAATGATTTCATAATAAAATCTATATTTTATGTCCCTGTTGTCGTAAACATTATTTAAAACAGGGGCAAGACATTGTAAAATGTGAAGTGAGAAGAGAGGGTGTTATATGCTCATACATTTTGACGCGTCACTTTATTCTCAGCTTCCATCCTTTCTCAGTATATACATATATATATATATATATATATATAACTCTTCTCACGCCAATAACTTGACACTATTTCCTATAGTTAATACGAAAGATGTCAGTAAACCTTTTATAAAAAAAAACAAGGGATCGATTTTTTTTTCTTCCTCAAAATAATGGAAAAGAAAACTTTGATGGATGCGCCCACATTTTTAAATTTATCACTCACTGTCTCATCTCATTTTCCTTAATGCTAAAACCAATTAATTTGCAAAAAAAAGAATTTTGAATACATTATTCGCAATTCGTAAAAAATTTGTTGTTAGACGAACAAAAAAATTTGTAGTACCGAGAAATTAGATCTGTTAGACGTACAAAAAAATTTGTTGCATCGACAAATCGGATTTGTTAATTCTATACTAACAATCCAATTATCAGTGTAACAATTTTTTTTCTCCGAAAAATAATTTCATTTTACTTGAAAAAAAAAAATACTTTTTTTTTCTTCTGTATCTATTTTATAACCCTTATATAATGCTATTAGTAATTTCTACAGAATGGGTAATTATTCAGTTATAAGGTAAAGCTCAGAGAAGTGGAATCTCTTTAATGCTCGGAATAATTTTCTCATCTTGAAGGCGCAGTCAATTGAAAAAAAAAAAGAGGGAGGCAAAAAAAAAGCAATTCTCAATGAGCTTGAATAACGTCAAGAGAGTAAATGGCCTACGACACATATATGGGAAAGTTTATGCACCCCTAGTGTCTATGGCAGATAGTGACTTGTATATATAGCCACTTATTTTGTTGTTCGCGAATAGTAAAACGCGCATTGCGACGAGCATGTAACCACAACAGGGAAGAAATAACGGATGCAAAAACGAGACAAACTGAAGAAGAAGAAGAAGGAATGGGAAACATAAAAAGAGAAAAGTAGAGGGCGCTTCTCTCTCTCTCTCTGTCTCTCTCTCTCTTTCTCTTTGGATTACAGGTTCAGAACTATTGGTGAGCTTAGTTCGCGGTTGGTTGCCTTTACGAGTTACCCCCCCTCCCCTCTCTCTCCCTTTAACATTTGCGTATTTCACAGAGGCCGTTATGACTATGCAACTGGGAAGATCCCCGCGCACATGCAATTCTTATCTTTTCCCAAGAATCTACGGATACTGGAGTTTGCGATTCACAAGCGCGAATATCTTAAGACCCCAAGAATTAATCTCAAAGTCCTCAGAAGTGGATAATATATATAACATTCAGAGTCATTAAACTGGATATCATATCAGTAACATTTCTCAAAGTCATCGAAAATTCATTAACCAAAAACGACTTTAGAAACTTTGGATTGTAAATGTCTCATCGCTTTATTTAATTCCAATTCATAACTTTGATTTACGAATCAAATAATAACGAGGAATGGGAAAGTATAGATATCTAATAAAGTATACAGAAAAGACAAAAACTCACCAATCTCCATCTCTTGCGATATTATTCTGAAAATAAAAAGCAAAATTAAAAATATTTTTCAAAATATATTTAAAAAATAATATTTTTGTGAATGATAAACTATATAATCTCAATCATGTAATCATGAGCAAAAAACAGACTCAATTGCTGGTTGTGCGCGTAATATGCCAAAGTTTTTTTTTATTATTATTATTTTTTTTTTGTTCTCACAAGGAAGCTTTGGAAATTTATTTTTATTCTTCTTTTTTTGTCGATGGGGAAGAGGGGACCAGAGTCAATGCATGAAAAGGGTTGAATAAGCGTTATCGGACTGGCACGTCCAAATGCCCCGAACTATAGACTAATGCAAACGCTGGAACCTAATCGCAGTATGCAAATCACAGGGCGTCTCTGGGCACATTCGTATAATCAATGGTCTACCTCGGATCGATGCTGTAACCATCGTCTTCTACCTGCTAAGCATTTCCAAACCAAGATATTCGCTCTGCACTTCCAATTTCCTTTGAAATTCCTCCACACATACACATATATATATTACATTTGTCGTAATAAAGATGTATGTGTGTCGCTTCTTTTGCCCTACTGCAAAGTTAATCCCTCAAGACATCATCAAAATCGCAAAGATTTTTTCATGCGATATTTTTGAAAAAAAAATCAGATATATATCAGCATATATTTGATGTAAAATTATATAGTTTTATGATAATTTAAGCGTATAGGTACTTATAATGTACACTTATTTTTATTATTCCTGTATGATGATTTAATTATGTAATCATCATTTTAGGGATTTTTTTTATTCGATTTTTTTTACTTACTGGAATTTTAAAACGTTTTGTCTTACTGAGATTGGATTTTACTACTGATACAAAATTTACAGGAAGCGACAAGAAGAATTTTGTCTTCTAAAAAACACCTTGTCTGGCTTAAAATGCTTTTACTACTTAGACCAAATTTACAAAAAATTGTTTTAAATATTTTGTCTGACTAAAATTTTCTCTTACTACTAATATCAATATTACAAGTATTTACCATCTTTTGTCTGACTTAAACTTACTTTTACTACTGACATAAAAAATTTCTCTCTCATTGCATACTTACAAAATTTAAATCATTTTGTCTGACTAAAACTTGCTATTACTACTTAATTTCACTACCGAAAGTAAAATTTAACAAATAACGTTTTGTCTGACTGCAAAATTTATTTACTACTAATACCAATAATACAATATACAATATTCTGTCTGACTGTTACTCACTTTTACTACTGATATAAAAAAGTTTCTCTTAAATTCGCCATCACTAGGAGCAAAAGTTAAAAAAAACTCAAACGATACAAAAATAACGAAAATTAAAACTATTTCGTCTGACTCTTATTATCTTTTACTACTGAACTCTTGAATTGTCCTGAATCGACAACAGTTCTAAAAAAAAAGAATTAAAAAAATTCAAAGAAAATTTGAATTTCTTTTTTTTGAAAATAAAATATCTCGCTTATTGAAATAGTTGTTTCTTTGATGATGCACTTGAAGGAAGATTATCTCAGGCTATGCGCTCTTGAACAGTCAACTTTGTGCGAGATCGTTGGCTGGATTTGGAAACGCTTGAACGGTTTAGAGGTTTTAGACGCTTAAGTCGTCGAAGGCTTAAACATATAAACCTGTTTCAAACATTGAAAACAGGGAGAGAGAAACTGGATGTTTTTAAATGACTCTTTTATGTCAAATTGAATTTTCTTCAGCTATTCAAACGAAATATATATTCAATTTAATTCACATTTTGTTTTTCAATATCTTTTTCAATTTTACATTGTTTACCATTACTATATATATATATATATATATTTTCATAAAACATTTCTCAACTTTGTTTTTCTTATCGTATATATGAGGACATTTTCAATTTCCATTTTACAATAGATTTTTTTTTCTTGTTTACTAAATTAAATTTTTTCAAGCCAAATTTTTTTCTTTTACACTGTAAGAAAATATTTAAAAAAATTTCAATTACTTTAGTAGAAATTTTAGTCAATATTTTTCAATTTAGGAAAAGTGTCAAAATGTGAAATATTGATATAAAAATTCAAAATAAATAATATTTCTACTCATGGAAAATTTCCTATTTTTATTTTCTTTCAATGTTTAGTGAAAAATGAAGAAAAAATTTTCCATTAATTTAAACTAGAAGTTGAACTATAGAATTTAAAATCTAGATAATGGAGTATAATTTCACAATTTTCGAAAATGTAGATATACTTTATAACGAAAGTTGTTCCTTTCTGAAATTTAATAACAATGTTAGAAAATTAATAACTACTCAGGAAAATTTTGCAACACATAAATGTATAATAACCGATAACTACTTCAATAACTAATTTTGCCAAAGTAACCAATTTCTGATGTGGTATCATTAGAGAATGACGATGATGAAAATATACATATAGTACAATCTAAAAAATTTAATTTCAAAAATTTGAAAAAAAAAATTAAAATTGAAAAAATAAATAGAATTTAGATGAAATAAAATCTCTTTTTTTTATTGAACAAAAGATATATATAGAACATTTTGGAAAATCCAGCACACGCTCATTTGCAAACAAATCGAGTGTTTAATAAATACTCTTCAATTACACGTGGAATAGTATATATATTCCGGTGTGTCTTTCTCGGAAAGTGCTATTCCTTCCCATTGAATGACCGAACGTGCTCTGCTTTCAGGACCTTTGTATGCATGAAAAGTATTGCAAAGGGAAAAGAAAAAAAAAGAAAGAAGAAGAAAAAGAAGAAGAAGAAGGACCAAAAGTATTCCTTCGAGTCTGAATTTCAAACCCGCGCTATATACAACACGTATTGACCCCATCCTGTCTATCTTGTTTGATAAGCAATTTTCATTCATTCATAATTAAAATTCATTTTTTTTTTTTAATAATAATTTCTACAAATATTTCAGATTTTTTCTTGTTACTTTTATGTGGCTTGCTTTTGAAATATTTAATAAATTATCAAATTTTTCCAGACGCCCCGAAACGAGAAAAATAATCCCCTTTTTATTATTTCTTCTCATTTATTTTTATTCTATTTTTTTCAATTTTTTTTTTTTTTTTTAATATTTCAATATTCCAATATTTCAATAAAAAGTTTCCAATATTCAATAACAAGAAGAATTAAAATCAACTAGAAATTTATTGAATTTAAAAAATCCAGTGTATATTTTAAATTGAAATTACCTGTTAATAATATTTTTTATATTATGATTATTTATTTAATATAGATTTTTAAAACTAATGTTTTATGTGAAAATTTTATCAACGAAAGACGTTGAAATATGTTTTTATTAAAAATTAAATATAAAACGAAATCGTGAGAATATTATATATTTTTCAAGCCTTTTGAATTTCATTTGTTGTGAGATTAGAGGTTACACGCGCAACTGCATCAGGGAAATATTAGAAAATATTTTGTAAAGATTTCCAGACATTGATGAATAGAAATCGAGCCAGGTCTAAATAATAATAATCGTTGTTCTCCTTGTGATATATATATATATACATATACGAGCGACGACCGAGAGGGAATAAAAGGGATAAGTAATAAGAAGGAGTTGAACGAGGTCTTCATTGAATTGAAAGGAAAATGATTCGAGTCGGAATATTTCCAAGACTCTAATCCTCCGAAGGCCCCCCGACTGCCTGAATGAATAGGTTCGGGTGAAAGGAGAGAGAAAGAGAGAGAGAGATAGAAAACAGAAAGCGAAAGAGTGATCGACAGAAGGAGAGAGAAAAAGAGAGGCAGACAGAATCAGAAAGAGAGACAGAAAGAGACAGAAATAGAAAAAAATAGACGGAAAGAGAGGCAGAAATAGAAAAAAAGAGACAGAAACAGAAGATAGACAGAAAGAGAGAGAAAAAGAGACAGAATGAGAGAAAGTGAGAAAGTAATATAGAAAGAGTGATCAAGAAAGAAAGGATAATAGAAAAAAAATTGATAATAAAGGACAAAATTATAAAAAGAGTGATAAAAAAAAGTAAGAACAAGAGAAAGAGAAGACAAAAGGAGAAACGAAAGAATTTGAGGAGGTGGTTAAGAGAAGGAAAGAGAAAGAGAGAGAGAGAGAAAGAGCCAGCGGGTCGACTATCAGGGTCATTAGTTACGGATGTCCCGTCCGAACCGAGACCACTCTCTCGTCTCTCGATAAACAGAAGGGGGGCTCGAAAAAAAGAGGCACAAATAATAATTATATCCCGGTAATATAACGGTCAACGCGGCACGGTTATCTCGAGCTCTGAAAGTGCACTACGTTGTCCATAAGATAAAACGTCGCCGTCTCCTTGCATTTTTATTTATTTTTTTTTCTCTTTCTTTCTCTCTCGTTTGATTGGACCATGTCTGATACGGCCACACGACACTTGTGGACTCAACCAGAATTATGGAAGCAGTCACTTGGATGGGCGGTGTTCCGATCATGTATCTCAATGTCGAGGGGGGTTTTATATATCCTTGACTAAGAAGGCAAAATGTTTCCTTTTTATATATTTATATTTATACATGCGATGAAAATTTACTTTTATAATATATTTTCGTTATTTATTTTTCTCCTTTTTTTTTCTTAAATTCCTCGTGACGAATCGTTATAAGAAGTCCTTGGCAAAAGGATATATAGATTAAAAAACCAAATTCGTTTATTATTATTATTATTATTATATCTGCTGACAGGAAAAGTAGTTATGGTTTTAATCGGATAAATATACAATCATAGGGAGGGGGGTTAAAAATACTGGAACAAATTCGAAAATAAAAAGAAAAAAATTAGCAAATTAGAAGAAAAAAATAATAGAAATATATATAATTCGCCAAAGAATCTCTCCCCTTTTTCAATCGTGAAAAAAATGAAAGTAGATATGGAAAAGCAGAGCGCGCGCACGATGATATCGAAAGAGAGATAAGCTTTTTTCTATTTGAAACTCTCGCTATTTATTTTATCGCTTGGTATTATCTCCGTTTCTGGTTTTACAGCGCGGCTTCCGCCT